GGCGGGCAGCGGGGCCGTCACTAACCGCCGCCTCGGGGCCTGCTCCCCGCAGGATCGCCGACTTCCAGGAGGTGCTGGGCGAGCCCACGGTGGCGCTGGCCAAGCTGCGCGAGCTCTGCTTCAGCGGTGAGCGGCCCCGGCCCGCGCGGGGGGACGCGGGGCGGGGGGGCCCTTTGGAAACGTCTCATCCCCGGCAGAAACGCGCCCCGCTGCCGCTCGTGCGCCCTGCTGAGGGGGCCGGCGGGAATTAACCGTCTCTCTGCCTGGTGTTTCGCAGGAATCCCCTTTGACGGTGGGCTGCGCTGCCTGTGCTGGAAGGTGGGTTTTGTTTGGAGCGCTTTTGTTTCCTGCGAGTGATGCTTTGGGTTGCTGAAGCACAGAAAATATTTTCGGGCGCATAAAATCATAAACACAAGTAAAAATGCAGAGTTTAAAATCCACTCTGAAGGAGCATGTGGAGATTAGCGCTTGGCCCAGTGGCAATAGTATTTACAGGTTAGTCATTATTTTGGATGCTAAAAAGTGGCCGTCTGGTCTTTGCATGAGCATAGTATTAGGGGAGGAGCAGAACTCGCTCAGGTTTGCTATTGACCTCCCATGCGAAAAGGCCTGTTTTGAAAACGTGCCCCTGAGATACTCCTGACCGTGCCTTGGCCAAGCACCAGGCTCTCTGCAGAGAGGAGAGCCCTCAGTTGTTCGAGGGAGTCAGTTCTAGCTGCTGTGTCTGCTTTGCTGATCTGGCAGATCTAGTAGCTCATGCTCCACACACTGCTATATTTCCATGTCTTTCTTCTCTGCAGATACTCTTGAACTACCTCCCTTTAGAGAAAGCCTTATGGAGCTCTTTGCTGAAGAAGCAGAGGTGAGGAGATCTATATTTGTTCCTTCCTTTCTAATGATCTCTGTAGAGAAATGGAGTAGTTCCTTAATTATTTAAGTACCTACATCAATGAAGCATTCTTATGTGGAATGCACTGTTCCGTGGACTGTCTCTCGGGGTTGATGGATTGATCTCTTAACTTGAACTCAGCCGAAGAGCAAATCAAATGTTCTCTGGCTAGCAGGGTAGTACAAAAAGATCTATTTGAACTTGCTGTGGATACTTGCTTTGATTTAGTCTCTTGCTTCCACATAATTTCCTGTTTTTCTCCTTAAGGGATCTGTATTCCCAGTTTCTGAAGGAAATGATTATCCAGCCTGGGATTGCCAAAGCCAACCTGGGTGTTTCCAGGGAAGATGTGACCTTGGAAGATCATGTAAGTGCTGTTCAGCCTTTATGGTGCAGAAGGTTCCCCAGAGTTATGAGCTGTTGCTCTGGAGTTAATCTCCTGGCTGCTCTTGGCTTAGCTCTCCGACTGTTTTGCCCTGCTGACAGGAGGGAACGTTCCTAGGTACCAGCTCTGCACTTATGTCTTACTAGTCTTCAGCCTGAATTATTAACAAAGCATCAATAGTTCTGAAGGGAGCTTTTCTCAGCTATGTGTATCCCTTCTCTCCTCCTTTAGAGCTGGCTACCTTGGCTACAGGTCTCCTGAAAAACAGGAGAGGGTCATGGCAGGTGCTTCTAGCAAGGAAATGTTCTCCTGAAAAGTCATTTCCATGGATAGACTCACGTGTGTGTTATGTTCACTTTTTTAGCCCCTCAATCCAAACCCGGACAGTCGATGGAATACCTACTTCAAGGATAATGAAGTGCTTCTCCAGATCGACAAAGATGTCAGGTATGTCATGACTCAGGTTGCTGAACCCAAAGTGTTTTATTTAATGCTTTGTGCTTTGAAAATGAAGTTTTCTATTAAACCAAGCTTCTCGTTTCAGATAGGGCACATAATTCCTCTTCTCATACTTGACTTCCTCCTGTTCTAGGCGGCTGTATCCAGACATGGCGTACTTGACTTCCTCCTGTGTCCGTTCTAGGCGGCTGTATCCAGACATGGCATTCTTCCAACGCCCGACCGACTACCCCTGCCTCTTAATCCTGGACCCTCAAAATGAGTTTGAGACGCTGCGCAAACGGGTGGAACAGACCACACTCAAGTCACAGACAGTGGCACGAAACCGCAGTGGGGTTACAAATGTAAGAGCTGCATGAGGGTTGCCCCTAGGGCAAAGCATTCTAGCTGATAAGGGGAATATCATTTGTCATTATATTCCTGTCCCTCCCTGCATATGTGAGGGAATTAGGCTAATATTCTAGCTAATGCTGTCTGTTCTAGTAGCTAGACAGTTGTAAAGAACCAGCTGACATTCCTGGTAAGGAATTAGGGGCTTATTTAATCTTAAGATTTTTCTTCCTGACTCCTGCT